TTGCTTCTGGCGACTAGATTTATGATTCGAAAATGATAAAAGTAGGGTAGACATGTGGATATTATCCGGCTGAACAAAACGTGATCCGTCTCTTAAATGTGTGTCAACCACAGACCTTATTAGTGCGAATGCTGTGCCACAGCATTCCACTATAGTTCTTCGAATCTTTATTCTTCCCCTTATTAGTGCGAATGCTGTGCCTCAAATTCTCCCCAAAAAATGTTTTAAACTTGCCATAATTCCCAAACCCTACACTCCTCAGACATATTTTGTCATGAAAAACGTAGGAAAACCTCGCCTAGGTTGGAAAATAAAAAAGAATTAGGAAAAAATATTAAACAAAATGCCTCTTGAGGGCATGTAGAGACAAAAAGTCCACCTAGCTCCCAATTGATTCCCATGTTAAATCTTTCCAGAACTTTCTTCAGAACAGAGAGAAGTACACTTTAGACAAACTGCTCCCATCTCCACATTTTACACACAAAACCAAAAAAACAACATATCAGTTCATTGGGGTTCCTCACGGTCTGGTAATTTTTTTACAGGAGCCATAGTTTTTGAACAGGTGGCAAAATTGTCAGATATAATCCTCAATGCATTCTTAATGGGACTCAGTGCTGCAGTTGGTAAATCGTCATAAGTTGTCACCATGGTAACCTTTGATCTCTGGGTTTACACACACAGGTGTTTGTAAACATTAAAGGTAGGGTAGGTAAGTTTGAGAAACCGGCTCGAGATACACTTTTTGTTATATTCCATGGAATGCTCTTAACATCCCGATAGCAATGAATATCTTAAGTGCTTTGACAAAAAATCCATACAAAAATGTCATCTGTGGAAGCCGTAATAATGTAAAAAGCACGACCAATCATTTTAGCCGGCCCGGCTAAAATAACTGGATGGCCTACCTGCCTGTCAGCCTTCCATCTGTGCACAAACTTATCTCGTGCCCTCATTGGTCATGTGTGCGTTCGTGTGTGTTGGAGGAGGGGCTCTATAAGGAAGTAGCAGATTTTCTCCGGTTGTGTATTTTCAAATTCTAGCGATCTCGAGCCGGTTTCTCAAACTTACCTACAGTACCCTACCTTTAATTCACTACTACTTACATTTAATATGTAATATAATATATAATAATATAAACCATTCAAATATCAAACTATTCAGCCTTTTCAGCACATGATGGGAAACTTTCAACTTTTTCAAAATATGTTATACTTTTTAAAACATTCAGCTTTTTAAAGTCTTTTTTAACATGGAAGTCATTGCAATGCATTTGAGCTGTAACAATTAACACACACACACACACACACACACACACACACACACACACACACACACACACACACAACACACACACACACACACACACAGACACACACACACACACACACACACACACACACACACACACACACACACACACACACACACACACACACACACACACACACAACACACACCCAACCCACACACACAATCTCTCTCTCTCTCTCTCACACAGACACACACCGATGATGATGAATGATCAAGAGAAGAGAGAGAGGGCGATCAAGAGAAGAGAGAGAGGCGATCAAGAGAAGAGAGAGAGGGCGATCAAGAGGAGAGAGAGAGGGCGATCAAGAGAAGAGAGAGAGGGCGATCAAGAGAAGAGAGAGAGAGGGTGATAGAAGAGTGAGAGGGTGATCAAGAGAAGAGAGAGAGGGCGATCAAGAGAAGAGAGAGAGGGCGATCAAGAGAAGAGAGAGGGCGATCAAGAGAAGAGAGAGAGGGCGAGCAAGAGAAGAGAGAGCGAAGAGAGAGAGGGCGATCAAGAGAAGAGAGAGAGGGCGATCAAGAGAAGAGAGAGAGGGCAATCAAGTGAAGAGAGAGAGGGCGATAGAAGATTGAGAGGGTGATCAAGAGAAGAGAGAGGGTGATCAAGAGAAGAGAGAGAGTAATGTAACCTCCTAATGTAATGTATAACTCCTATGAAAATGTTCAAAAAGTTCTCAAACTTCACATGTGTGCTAACAGTCCAGCCGTGAAGACATCTACGGGATGGTTTTGAGATTTCTTCAAATGCCGTTGCCATGGCAACACAATGCTCACCATGAAACACGGTTTTCTCATAACTTCAGTGAAAATGCTCGAAATGGCCCAAAACTTCACAGGTTTGGTAACGATGCCGCCATCAACACATCTAAGCGTATTATGGGGTGTCATCAAATGCAGTTGCCATGGCGACAGATAATTCACCATCAAGTTAGTTCAAAAGTTTGCAGTTCAAATATTCTGCTGCTTTCCCAAGCCTTTTTACTTTCTTTTCTCATCTTAATACAAATTCATTCACTACTACTTACATCTGATATTTAACTCCTTCAGCCTATTTTCAGCTGCAGAAACCATTCAACTATTACATTATTCAGCTATTTCAGGACATCAAGGCTATACATGTTGTTGTTTATACCTTTTTTTAAACCTTTTCTTTTAAATATTAAGCTTTTTCTGCATTTTTGTAGCTAAAAGCAGCTACCATTCAGCTAATAACATATTCAGCTTTTTCTGCATTTTCAGCTAAATTCAGCCACAAATGTTCACAGTTTACAGCATTCGCACGCATTTTCTGCAGGAAATGCATTTCCTAGTTTCCAGCTATTTTCCAAAATCCTATGGAGAAATTGCATTGCGTTTTTGTCGAAGGAACTGGAAGGAGTTTACTTCCGGGTTTTAGGACGCGTCACTGCGGTTCTCTATTCCAGCCCTGTTAGAAGCCTCATCTCAATACCCCTCCTCGACTCCTCTCTTCCCCTCCTCCGGGACTTGACCCGGATATCGATCAAGACACGCCATGTTGAAGGACGTCCCAATAGCTGAAATGCACACGGAGGAGTCGAGGAGGGGTGAGGGAGAAGGGGTGCGGGAGGAGACGAAAGGGAGGATACACGAGAGCAGACTACGCGGAAGTATTTTCACTACTCGCGTATAAAAGCCCCGCCCCCACATTGACAGCTGGTCGATTTCAACAGAGGAAAACCGACAACTGGAAGATGAGTGGAAAAGCGTCACATAAATGTATAAGTGCTCACAGCTCCGTGGGAATTATTATGTGCAATTCATTTCTTAAGGTTATACTAACAATTTAAGTCATGTTTAATCATCTTAAATGTCACTAAAACATAGCTATTAAGAAAGCTATTTCATAAATGGCTAGATCTTGATAAATAACAATTATTTGTGTTGTTTTGTGTTAAGATATTCAGGAGTTAAATTATTTAAAATGCACAGTCCTGAATGTGTGTTTGTGGTGAATGTGGGGATCTACAGGACACACATTTTCAGAGTAAAGGCTTTCACATTACTATAATTATATTTTTATTTAAATGTAGGCTACATTTTACACCAAAACGGAACACAAAAGCAGGACCAACCATCATACTTTGAATTCCTTGACTAACAAGAGAAAGATTCATTAATTTAAATAAATATTTAACAACAAATGGGCCGGTTCTAAGGGGTTATTCAGTTAAGCCCGATGAGAGGGGATACAGCTGTGCACATGTCATTATTAACAGACGTTGTTTAAAAGTGACGTTTGAGTGAACAAGGACATCCCAATTAATACCTGAGGACTCCTCTGTCCTCGCGTCTCCTCCTCGTGTCTCTCGCTCGCATCTTACGGAGGCGGAGCTAAGACGCAAGGAAGGGACGCGAGTGAGGGAAAGGAGGAGTCGAGAAGGGGTATTGAGATAAGGCTAGAGAAACGCAGATTTTGGGTCCTTAGCTTGAAAAAGGAGGAGGCGTAGCTAATGCCTGATCAGAATTCTACCGGAGATAAAGTTAAATTCTGCTGTAATAAAATGCCATCCTGTTCTAAACCACATCAAGGATTATTTCTGAAATAGTATGGAGCTCAAATGCTTTTTCTCTTGCGGGTTTATCACAAGGTGAGTTCCTTTTTTTATTTCCTGCTTTTTAAACACATGTGCTCTACAGTACAGGTTAGCTCTGAGTGTTAGCGAGGCTTGCTAATGTAAACAAAGACGAGATTACGTCCAAAACACGTCAGGCATTGTTTCTGATAGCAACTTTCTGTGGGTCCGCCATCCGAAATTACGTCATATCGGCAGCAAATCTGTATCCACTCGTTGTACCCCCGTTTTTTAAAGATTTGGGTACTGAGGAAAAGAGAAAGGGTTTTATTTTCTGACGCTGCGTGAGTTCTCCGATACACCGGGGACACATATTATGTATAAAATACATCAAAACGTGCATTTTGGATGATAGGTCCCCTTTATGTTATGCTTACAGGTTGTTTTTGCTGCCCCCTAGTGGCCAAATAAATCTAAATGTATTTCTCTTTCAAGAGTCCAAAATGTGGAAATGTATTTCTCATGCCTTTAATGAGTTTATAAACCAGCAGGTCTAAAGTGGGACCACACAGAGCTTCCTAACTGTCATTAACCAAGTGATTGACTGACTGATTGATTTATTGATCGATTGATTCAGCACTAATCTGAAAGCATTTAATTTCGAAGTCTATTTTTAACAGGCATGTTTGTTGAAATATGATTTGCATTGGATTTTTTATTTAAAATTGCCTCCTCTGGGGAGACATTCTGAACTGTGTTGACACAGTGTGACCATCTGTCCATCTTGCTCACGGCCAAATCAGTCAACTCTGATCTTGGCACTAATTCAGCTGGAGAACAGGGGTCCCTTTCCTGTGTAAACCTCTCTTATTTTCTGTAATGCGCGCGGATCCTTTCCTCTTTCCAAAATCAATGTTCTCCCGTCGTCTAACTTTCACAGCAGTGACGTCTAGATTGCAAAGGGATTATGGATTAGTATGTGGTGGAACCGCGTAGAGACGTTGCATAATTAACTCCGGGATGAGGAATTTAGTTATTTCTCAGTCGCGTAGCACACCCCGGTTTAAATGGCACAACGTGGGCGGTGCGTCGACGACATGATCTGGAGCACGGAGCGCAGCCGGCACTCACACACCGGATAGGAAGCGGTGGGACATGATAGTGTAGCCGGCGGAACAGAAAAACGCATGCAAAGGGAGTTTTTGGTCCGGGGCCAGCTGTGAAGGGCACCGTGGTTTCTGTGTGATGGTGCGCTTCTCTCTCCAAAGGTGGATTCGGTGACTTCATTTCAAGAGAAACCAAGGAAAAAGAGAGGGAAGCTGCTCACCTGAAGAAGAATCGTCTTAATGGATCATCTGTGCTGCTCATTTGGAGACCTGATAGGTTTCTTTCTCACCACGCGTCTCTCTCTGACAGAAGTGACATTTCCCACAGCAGCAGCATCACATTCTCTGCACACATCGTGCTACTTTCACAAGTGACTCAGGGGATAGTGAAGAAACATTGTTTTTTAAAGTGACAAGAAGACATTTAACGTCCCACATGAACATTATGTGAAAAATACAGGATTGGAAATGCGTCGCAAATGCTTCGGTCTGCTTGAGGTAAGTTATTTTTGGCTTTATATCCTAAAACCCTAGCCTGTGGTTGAATTAAAAATAGCTTAATAAAGACAACTGGATCTTTATTCTTCGCAGGATTTCAGCAGAGTGTAATCTTGATGCGAAGGGATTTATCAGCATCACATCCAGATGTTAGTTTTTGGATATTTTCTCCATCTCGCAGCTATTTAAAAATCATAATACCCATTAAATGTGCTGAACTAAAAGCTTTTGGAGCAGGAAGGCTGAGTTTCAGCGTAAACACACAGACATGGAGCTGTATGGGTTTTACAGTGCATGAGAAAAACATCCCAAGTGACACGATGCCTCCTCTTCATGGGACGCGGGGCTCAAATGCTGATGCTAAAAAACCCGGATTTGGGACACTGGAGATTAGAAGTGTTAGTGCAGCAAGTGCATTGCTCCACTTCCCGTTCTCATGTTTGATCCCTCAAAGCAAAGTCTAATTAACATTTGTAAGTTGTTGAGAAAGGCTTCCCTGACAGTCATTATAGTGTTCTGGACTTGTGGTGCAGATGCTGATGTTGCTATGAATGGCAGCCTGAGGTGAATCACTTAATTCCTCCTACCTCTTGTGTGTGAGGAGAGCAGCCGCACTAAGAATAGTCAAGAATCCTCTGAAGCCTTCTCTCAGATCCCTCCTGCATTCTATTCGTGTGTGTGTGTCGTCCCCCCCCCCCCCCCCCCCCCATTGTTGTTATTTAGGGCCAAGCAGGGCCCCTTCACTCACATATCACCTGTCTGCTGGGATGCTGTCAAAAGGTAAAATGATGATGTGACTGAGGTTCATTTTTTAAGGGCTCTTGTCCCTCAGTATTTCTTAAATACTCAGATGTGTGTGATTTTAAAGATAACAAAAATGCTATTGCCATGTAGCAAACATAATGTGAAAAGACACAGAATCAGAAAGCACAATCCTCCCTTTTTGTAAAAAATATAAACAATTCTTATGATGATAATGAATAAAATAATTAAAATACTGCTTATCTATTACTCTGTAGCCCCAGCGTAGACATGTACTCTGCGCAATTAAATATTTTCTCGAGTGCAAGAGTAATAAATACTTAGACAAAAAGTACTTGTTATTGATCCCGGGGATGAATAAAGTCTTATCTTAACCTCATACAGTAGATCAGCAGAAGAACTGCCACATGTGTGCTACAGTACAGTAAAATAAAATGTAGTAGTGGGAGTTTTAGGTAGCATGACATATAAATACTCATACCTCAAAACAGTGCAGAAGTAATCCTACTTTATGGAAATATTTGACCTTTTATTCCACTACATAAGTCAGATGTATTTAGATTTGGAATGATTTCTTTCTTTCTTTTCGTGTCATGCCCAAAGACACCAAAAAAGTGATCAACATTTATTTTCATTGCAAAATGACAAGCTGTTTTACTACCCCATCTTGAATTTGATTAAATTAGATATACTTTGCGTATCCTAATTTGGGAAATTGTTTTGTCTCAGCAGCAATTAAAAGAAATAAGATAAAAACGATTGATTCCTCTACTGGTTATTTTTTCATTTGTTTTGGTCTATGAAATGTCAGAAGATAGGGAAATATGTACACCTTGATTTCTCAAAGTCCAAGGGGGCATCTTTTAATGTCAGAGAAAAGACAGAAATCTAAATGTTCTGCCATTTTGTATTAAAGTCAACTAATCGATTTGAAGACTTATGGTTGCAGCTCTAGTTCCCTACATTTATTAAAAGTGTCTAAGAAAGAATACACAATGTTGAAAATACAGAATAAATTAACATAGTAATAGACCAATCTACAAAACATGGGATACTACTTGTAAATATTCTACCTTCTACCCCAAGATTTGCAGGTAAATTCTGCTACAAAAAGAATGTAGAAGAAGTTTATCATCTGTCTTCCACTCTCAGAAAACAAACATAAATGGAGGTCATTTCACTTACATATAATTCATCCTCACAGACAGGACAGTAAATCAGAAATGTAACCCTATTCTCTATTTCTCCTAGCTCATCTTCATATTCAGATTATTGTCCCAGAGAGATATTTATTTTCACAGCCAGTGCACAGAAACACAGATTGATGTACACATAGGAGTACAAGGCCAGCATACCGATATAGTACAGTGCATAACATCTTCATGTATGCATTCATTAAATGATGCCGGCTGTGTCAGCGAGGCAGATTGTTAAAGGCCGCCCATGCAGGAGAAAATAACTCCTTCTGGAGCGCCTCTCCATTTAGAAGTCCTGTATCCCCCACAGATGGGAGTGATGCGAGGTGTTGGGCTTTTTCATTATTGATTCAACTGTCTGTTATTTTCTAGTTTGATAGGGTCTATGAAATGTCAGAAAACAGTGAAACATGTCGACTCTGGTTTCTCCAGTCCAAGGTTTATGTCAGGGTAAAGCCAGAAATGTATCAAATCAGATGTAGTTAGATTTCAATTAGTGATTTCTTCATTTTCTTGTCATGCACACCAGCGCCCTAAGCTTTACAAGACACCAAAAAAGTGATCAAATATTTAATTTAATTATAAAATGACTAATTACTCCCCCGTCTGAGATAAGTTTAGATATACTTGACTCATATCATGGGAAATGACTGTGTCACAGCTGCAAAAAGTTAACAGGTGCTACACATGAGTTAATACATAGAATAAAAATAAAGAAATATTGATACATCTGCCGGTTATATTCGTTTAATATGGTATCGATTAGTTGTCTTGTCTTTGTTACGGGTGTGATGAGAATCATTTGATGTTGCGCGTGAGATATGTGATGCTCGAATCAGAGCTCGATGTCTGTTTTAGACTGGGTGTGGGAATCCAGATATTCTGCTGACAGTGCGTGGGACGCTAGGTTTGTTTTTGTTGGAGATGGCGAACACAACGGCAACTGGACAGCAGTATCAGTGAAATTAGCCTTTTGTTTAGATACAGCAGGATGTGTTGAATAACACTTGAGTTTAAATACAGCATATGTGGTAGATTAGACTTCATTTTAGCTAAGGGGGCTCTCGGTTTAGTCTTTCTGGGATTCGATGCGTTGATCGAAATGGAGGTTATTGTCTGTTGTGACATGAATGGAAGAGGTCCAGTGCGTGGTGTCTTAATGATGAGCCCTTTTTTCCATCTACCTGCAGCTGTAGCCAATTATCAGTGCAACGTTCTGCACTTGAGTTGCATCTTTTTATATGCATATGATCAACTTCAAAACATGACTCATCGTTTGATCTCCCTCTTATCGAAGCATTGTCTGAAAGTCTGGTGTGAATATTTCAACCTGCTTTCAATGCAAATCCACTTGTTTCAAGATTTTTCCTCAGATCATCCTTTTTAATATTTAAGTGCTGCTTTGTTCTTTGGTGTTTCAAAGCATTGCATTTGTTTTCATGGCCTTTCGCAGAGGAACCACTCATGACACTATGGATGTCATAGAAAACAGACGCAGACATATCCAAACTGCTTCACTGATTTTAAATGAGCTCTGTAAACTGTAAAATAAAGAAAATAATTGACAAAAATAGAATTAAAACCATTACTAAATCATTAACCGTGATTAGGACATCCACAAGGGTAAGTGTCATATTACCAATAACGCATCAACACTTCAACCTGATCATACATTAATCATACAGCAATATATTTAACCGGCTTATGTTCATTTAACACCCATAAAATATTGAAACCAGGGAACAGGGAGTACTTTATATACATAGATGTGAATGTAGATCTGAAATAATAAGATATCATCTAAATCTACTGATTATAATTGAATATTATAATGAAAGGTATACTCCCCTCGGGGTGGGCACGTGGATGTCTCCTCCAGAATGCAAAATGTTAAGGAACAGCAATGATTATAGACATAATATATTTAGATTTTTTTCCAAACAAGTTGATGTTAATTTATTTATAGAAGAAAAAGCATATTGCAGAATAAAGTCATGTCTTGATTGTTGACTTAAATGTAATAATGAGCCACACACTCATGTGGCTCACACACACTGAGACAAATATCTGAATGGATGGAAATGTTGCACAATCAATCACAATACAAAAACTCACTTTGCATCCTCACATCAATACATTTAACTTTCAATGAATCTGCAATTGCTCAAAGCACATTATGTATTGGTTTCTGACCACAATGCATTTACGTAATCCAAGCAAATCTTACACTAACCATGGATCGTGCTTTCTTGACTCTTTTCCAGTATAATCATGAACCGCAGGGGAAGCTTGCCTGCGGCTGTTTTCACTGCACCAAAAAACCCTGGTCCTTTCATGAAGTTGCAAAAGCCAAAGACCGTGGAATTTAAGTTCCACGGCTCTAAGCTAAACTGTTAAACCAGAAAGTAGGGTTTGAGCGGGGAAATATTTCTCGTTTAAAGAACAAGAAACCTTTGGATCAAGTAAATATTAAAAGCTTTGGCAATGTGTTAATAGCAATTGAAAGTGTAATCAATTACTAAATACACTTTTAGTGGTTTGAATCTTTCCAAGAAACCACACTTTAATAGTGGCAAAAATCATTGCAAAAATAGTCTTGCTTGATCTACATAATACGATTACGTTGCATGACTTGCATGTATCTCTTTCACGAAACAAAATATTCAAAGAGGTCCTATTGTGCTTTTATGGGTTTACTCTGTCCAGTAGTGTGTTATATAGGTCTTTGTAAATGGTCTGCAAAGGCAATATCCCTGTGTTTCTCTCCAACTACTTTTTCTGTTGACAATACTCCATTCAACCTCATGATCATTTTGAAGGCATGTAATTTAAATTCCTTCATCATGGTTTTATTCATTTTTCTATGATGTGCGTGTTCTTCAACCGCAGAAAATACCGCCCGCTGATTGAATAGTAGTTTGTGTGATCCCCGTTTACATCCTGCCTGTCGATCAGCTGCTGAGCTTTAATAACCGCAGCACAGTGTGTCAGTGTGCCCTGATACCTGCGCAGGACTCACTGAGCGTGTAACAGACGCAGCGAGCCATCAGGAGCTCCTCTTTACAATCTGGGCCAGTGTAGCTTTCTGCTCAATGTGACCAGACCCCGCTGCTGGTATTTCACATTTCATGCTGCCGTGGCCATGAGCTATGAATGCCTTTTTTTTTTTACACTCCAGAGCGACACTTTTAATAACAACACAAAAAAAAAGTCAGGAATTTCAATTATTTAGACTTCTTCTTTAAGTTCCATCTTTATGTTTACCGTTTCCGATGCTGCATTATTGAGGCGGAATGTTTTATTTAAAGAGGGAAAGAAACGTTGGCTACAGTATATGGGTAATAGTAGCCGTCCGCAGGGAACAGGCCCGTACTCAAGGACAGCTGCACCGACCCAGATGGGGGTCAACTACTGTCGAGAAGCCCAGGAAAACTAAAGAAATTAAATGTTTCAGTCTCTTGTGGTGTTTTTTGTCTCTTATGAAGTGGCACCGACAGAAGCTGCCTGCAGCGATCATGGTTTCCACGCAGCACAATGCACACATTCAAGGGATGTTTTTACTTTTTCCCAGAGCAGTCACGAGAAATCAAGTGAAGGTCAAAGTGTGGATGAAAAATGGATCCGTTGTGCTGTCCTCTAAAATACCGGCAAATAGAGGTTATTCATCTCTGGTGTGTAAATGTATGATTTGCTAGCTTACATTGTTATTGTGCAGGGAACAAGCACAAACACACTGGAGACGCAGCAGATACATGCACATTAACCCTCCACTGTACTGTATTTTTATAATTATGTGCATTATTTAAATGTGTTTCCCTCTCTGCACACACGATAAGTAGGCTGACTGCAACCAAACTGAATATTTGTTATTTAGCAGAAGAAGGCAAAGTAAGGAACTTCTGAGCCTACGTTTTATTCAATCTTTGTATCTGTAAACATGAAAGAGTGTTGATGGGGGGGGGGGGAGATTACACACTACAAAGTGCTCCAAATTAGGCAATGAGGGGTTGTTAATGCATGCATCCTCTGCTCAAGGGCACAGAGACCTTCAACTGGATTCAGCCGTCTTCATTGGCTGCACGTGAGGGAATACAAGTATATGCAACTTTTCTGCAGTAAAATGTCTTAAAACAACTATGTTTTATATTTAGATGATTTGTGTGTTTACAGTATCCAACATGTTTTCCATCAGACCTAGATAAATAGGTCATTTGAATCAAGATAACGGTACATACTGTATGGTTGCCTCTAATGGCAGTGCATCCCTCTTGTGTATGTGTTAGAGTTTTGGTTGTTATAATTTCACTTTTACATTTTAAGCCACATTTTTTACAAGTGACTTTTACATCTAGGATGAAGGTTTTAGTCATGGGGCGTTTCGATCTTTATAGACGCAAGCTGAGCAAACGAACCTCATTGGGGAAAGACTGCATTTTAACGGCACATTGCTTTATTTGTTGTTTTTGCTTGTTTCACCTGGTCCATGTTTTTTGTAAAATAAGTGAGCTCTGTGGATAATTCGGCTTCTATTTAAATCATCTTCCACATTTGGATCTCAGGTTGTAAGAGAGACAATGTTTTTAAAGGAACCACATTGAAAAAAGACACATTTTAAGGGCAAATTGCTTAATTTTTTTATTTTACCACTTTTTTTCACCTGATCCATTTATTTGTGAAAAATGTGACTGTGGATAATTAGGCTTCCAGCAAAATCATCCTTAAGATGTATGTCTAACTTATTGAGAGAACCAATGTGAATAAAGGAACCACACTTGAAAAGGACTGCATTTTAATGTCAGATTGCTTTATTCTATGGTTTTACTGCTTTATTTACCTGGGCTATTTTTTGGAAAAGAGGTGATTTCTGTGGATAATTCGGCTTCCAGTAAAATCATCCTCAACATTTGCAATCTCAGGTTATCAGCGAAACAATGTGATTATAGAAACCGTATTGAGAAAGACTTTATTCTGTGTTTCTTCTAGTTCTTTCACCTTATCCATCACAAACAATGCAAGGAACCTCATTGGAGAAAGACATGTATCCCCTTTATTCTGTGTTTTTACAGTTTTTCATCAATTGGTCTACTTATTTTGTCAAAAGGAGATTCTTCTGTGGATAATTCGTCTCCCAGTGAAATCATCCTCAACATTTGGATCTCACGTATTCAGAGAAACAAGCTGAGCAAACATTCGTGGCCTCTCCGGGACATCTGTCTTCTGTCGAGCGGTGTCGGAAAAACGCTGATTTTTTATGTAAAACTGCTTTACTCAGTGTTTTTTACTGCTTTTAATCAGTGGGTCCGTTTGTTTTGGAGAGGAGACATCTGCGGATAATTCGGCTCCCGGTAAAAACCTCCTGAACAATGAACACTGGGGGAATCTGACTGCGATGGTGAAGACAACAAATCCCATGAACCCACGATTCCTCATGAGACAAACTCCATCTTTAGTGATTTTTTAGGCAGCCCTAGCAGTCGAAATGTACATATTGTATGTTTAAGAGGCTATAAAAGCTGTATTTGACATGATGTTGTGGATTTTGTGACTCATTGATGTGTGTTGTATCTCTGCAGGTGTGTGCCATCATGAGCCTGCTGCCTTCAGGCTCTTTGGAGAATCTGACATGTGAAGCCCTGCTCATGCTGTCCAGAAATGTCTCATGTAAGTCGATGTTTACGACGACAGCAACTGTTACAAGCTTTTAAAACGGCCGGCAGTTACACCCTACGTGTTTCAAGTTGCTCTACTGGTACTACTGGTGCTTCAATTGATTTTCAGTCTCTTCAGTTATACGACCACTAAATGCCAACTCTCCTTATGTTTATTGACAACATGTATTTTATATTATTCAGTAGTACAGTACAGTATGAGTTTTAACACTGAACCAGAGTAAACACCCAGAGAGATATGCAAATCCAGCAATGATCTTCCTGTTTTTATTTGCCTCCTGGTTTCATACTCACAATGTTGGTATTATGCTGTCACATTGCTGTGTCAAGACTCAGCTAGGTGCCAATCTTCTGTCCTTTAATGTCTCTGTTAAAGTGAGAAATATCCAACACAGACCAAATGTCTGCGCTCATAGCTTTGTTTTCAGTTCAATAACCCCTAAATATTTAGTTTACAATATTAAAAATACAGAAAACCCTCTCATTGGAGAAGCTTCAACCACAGTTTGCCATTTTTGATTTATGACTCAAAAGATGATTTAAATACCTATCATAGTAGTTGAATAGTTTCTCTTGGAGTCAGTTGTTACAGTTGTAATTAAGTATCATAAGTTGGCACTGAAATAGAATCCGATTCTGCCGCTTGATAACATCTTCCTTGATCAGGTATTTCCTGATTTAAATAAGGAGACTATCAATCTTTAAGATCTGTTTCATTTAGACAAAGGTCTTTATTAAAGTCTACATTGAGCACATTTGTAGATGAAAGAAAAACAACCTCCGGTGTCGATTGGCACTGGAATTGAGTGTAAAAAAAGAAAAGTAATAAAACAAAAAAAACGTCCTTCTGGTAAAGGCCAAAATATTTGAAACTCAAGCGTAGGCCAAGAGCTATTTTCTCAGTGACGAAAGCTCCTCCAAAACTATAGAAGATATAATTAAACCATTTTCACAGGCTGAGTCATAGTTACTAGATATAAAACTCCCATTAAGACGGCCAACAAGTCAAATATAAAACTGTGAAAGTATCCTGACTGGGATTATTGAAACGGAATTTTAATCCCTTACTTACAGCACTCACGTAATGGCATTTATTACCCAACACTGGTCATAAACGTCTTATTTCTTTTGCAAATTCTCCTTTAAAGGTCATTGTTAAAAGAATAACAATTGATTAATGGAGACATAATTGCTTGGCTTAAATAACAAGCAAAATCACAATCAGTTGGAGAAAAATAATTCAGTAATAATTACTGTCTTTGTCAAAAAAACATTAAAACATGTCCTTTTAGGCATTCAAGCAAACCAATGTTGTGGTTTTGCTTGTGGGGGTGTTTCTAAAATCTAAATTTTGCTTTTGATTTATTTCTCACTACAAGCAGGTGTGAAAACATGGTTTTGCAAAATAATGTGAAAGCATGAGACTGAGGCGTCAACTTTGCCCCCAAGAACAATCCTTATTTCCGGATCTTTTTTTATCTAAGTCCTCTTGAGTTATTGCAGAATTAATAGCCTTCCCCCCAGGGGCATGTCTTCATACATATATGCTGCTACCGCCTTGATATTGCCCAGGGAAAGGTCTGTCACCAGTGTTTACCGTTGCCCTTTAATGCTCACCCTTTGTAGCTGTTAAGCTGCATCTAATGAGACTTTCATAGCCCTCCTTTCAGTGTGCAAACAGAGATTGAGGTTATTGATGATTCTCTTCTTCCATCTTGGGTTGCAGTACAGTCGCTGGCCACCTCCTGGAACCAGACCCTGAGCAACGCCACAAGCCAGTGGAGCGGTGAGTGTGTGAAACTGATTACCTACGCAGTTACTACAGTACAAAGCACAATTGTTGTGTTCTACCCCACGAGGGAAACAAGTTTGATCCGAACTCAGATTATAAGTACTTACATCAAAGAGCTGAACAGGGCTTGAAATAGATTTGGCGACTCTCAGCAGGAGACCACGCTCAGGAGTAATCATTAAAATGTGTGCACACAAACGGCTTAATCAGCTCCAGGATTTATTGCCAAGATCATTGGAGCATTGTCAGGATTTCACCATGGGCTATATGTAGTCCCGAGCCATGTTAGGAATGCGTGTTTGTGTCTTTACATTTCTGTCCTCACGCTACAGGCCCGGGGCCCTCCTGTGACACCTCCATCGATGGCATCGGCACCTGCTGGCCCCGAAGCAGCGCGGGCCAGATGGTGTCACGACCCTGTCCCGAGTGGTTCTACGGTGTCAGATACAACACCACCAGTAAGTCTTCATTGTCATCTCCTGCCAGAAAAACAGAAAAACAATAGATTTAAAGTCAGATTTAATTAGACTTCACCCCCTTCCCCCCCCTTTACTCGGCTTCCCCTTGGGCAAATCCTGTTTACACAATTGTTTATACAGAAATTAGCATGAGCATACAAATTAGCAGGAGACACAGAATAAAAACAACATGTGTAAAGTAGGACTGCTGTGGATAATTCACCGTGAAGTGCGAGAAGAAAGACAAGACAAGACAAGCGGTACACCCGCTGTGAGAGATGTGTGTGTGTCAGGGTCTAAATAGAAATAGAAAGCTGGTATTATGTTACAAAATAAAAGCGTAAACCGCTGCCAACTGAGAAGCTTAAGCCTGTTAAAACGATCGGAACAGGAGAAAAAACCTCTTTACTGGTGTTTATTCCTAACTTGAGCAGCACTACCATTCAAAATGACTAATTGAAACATGATCTGATTCAAATAATACAATTATCGGACACATTTATGCGTGCAGTTTGTCTGTAAATATTTAATAAATTACCTTTTTAAGACTGTGAAAGTACAAAGTGTTTCAGATTTCTGCTCTGGTGGTGTACCACAGTTTCTTCTAAGGTCAAACTCTTAAAGTACAACTGACATCAAATCGCTGCAGCAAAGAGTTCTGCTCCGTAGATTACATGCTTGGTGCTATGTTTTACAAAGAAATCGGTTTTCAACAGGGTGAAATTAATATAGTTTTTAGCCATTCTTGCACCAGGGCTCCAGGGATTGCAGTTAGTCCTTTCTCCACTTTCTCCGGACTATACCAACAACAAAATCATGGTTTGTCATGACATTTTATACAGATATTTATAGTCCACAGAGGATGAATCCTACTTTTCAGCTAGTCAAACCATAAGGTCAATATTTGATATTTAGAGTGAAATATCTCAACAGCTATTCGATTGCTCATTTTTTAATTTGGTAAAAACGTTGTCTTCACTTGCCACGAGGTAGGGCGCAGACCTTGTGGTGAAAACAACTAGTTAGTTAAGTTTCTATTGTTACCCCTGCTGAAAAAAACAGCTTAGACCAACTTAGCTGTAGATATTAGGCTGGATGGTTGGCTGGTTTAGAGGGGTTTTGGACACTTTAGCTGGCCAGGATGGCTGGTGAACCGGCCACCAGCTAAACCAGCTAAACCAGCTAAACCGGCCACCAGCTATACCAGCCATCCTGGCCAGCTAAAAAAACCAGCATAGACCAGCATAGTATGCTGGTATGCTGGGCTGGTCACCAACATCCATCGATCACCAGTTTATGTTTAATAATAGTATTAAATATACCATGCTGGAAGCTTACCAGGATTCCAGGTGACCAGCATACATTGTTTAAATACTGGTATGATTATTTAAACCAGAGAACATAAATATATTACAAAGATTCATTGAGTCATGTATTCTGGTATCTACCAAAATAAATACATTATATAGTGTTCATAACAGTATTTTAATTCAATAAATAGCAATAAATAGCTATAAAATACACAGTAACAATACAATAATTATACAAATAACAACCAACCTGCAAATCAACCTATACATCAAAATAAATATATTATCTAAAACAGGTGCATTTGATTTAAAATAAAAGTAATAAATAAAATTCAATATTTAAATGGTAACAACAACAGTAACACTATGTATGATAAGAAAAAGGCAACAAAGAAAGTGTTTTTTGTTTTTCCTTTCCATAATGTTTCCCGTTGTATAGCGTCCAGCCTTTCCCAATCTGGCCTGCATTTCTGTTGAAGCCACTTCTTGAAGCAAACTGAAAAGAAATGTACAGATATAAGTATACTGTAAAAAGAAAACTTGACATTTACGTTAACATTTGGGCTGCTGTGGTTGCCAGAACTTGACCGTTAAAGTATGGTAAAATACATTACAGTTGGTTGGCATAGACGTTACAGTCAACAATTGCTTATGGTGAATTACAATGGCAAAAACAAATAGAGCTAGTGTACATGGTGCTGCTGTATTATCTGGGAAGTAGAAGAATCGGATCAGGATTCGTTATTGGCAGACAATCAATATCAAATGAATCGGATCATTATTAGCATCAGCATTTGATCACCTTTGTCGACTTGCAGCCTAAATACAAAGATAACTCCACTCCTCTCCTACCACTCTTACTTCTAATAAGCCTTGGTATAACTAGTGTCCGAGTCATAGGGTCCAGAACTGACTGAAGACATGTGGAACAGAGTCCCAGACAGGCATGGTTCCATGTACAGGAAACTGGAACTTTGAACAGGTGTTTTCATCTTTTCTGCCTGAAGATTCACAAGTTCTTGATCTGAGGCCTGTACTACGAAGCTGGATTTTCGCTTAGCCGGCTAACTTCAGGGAAATCTCGGGCTTTCCGGTCCTACGACGCTGGTTCTCTTTTTAGCAGGCTAGATTTCCATGGAAACTTATGCTGAGCGGGAAACCTGCTCCGGAGCAGGTTAGGTGGCAGGCTAAGAGATCAACTCAGTGAAAGCACCGCCTGCTGACCAATCAGAGCTCCGTGTGCGGAGTTTAAAGCCATCAATTCATATTACAGGATAGAGGAAATACAGAAAAACTGCCGTTGCAGGAAAGACGACCGGCCAAAATCAACTGACTGTGTGAACGTGAAAATTAATAGAATATCCCCTCCCATCTTCAGAGCAATCTGACTATTATAATATTAGCGTTAAGAAAGCTTACTTAAATATCTGCCACGACATAAGTAACCGGATCAGAGTAACATTAAGTACAGTCCGCGGCACTGTGAGTGCAGACGTCGATGTGTCCCATTATCATTCATATCATATCACATCATAATGTATCATATATTTCCTTATTTGAGTCAGCTTCTTGAGCCGTATCTGGCCGTGCAACACTCACAGTGTCACATACTGTATGCAGAAGTATTATTTTAAGCAACACATTAAGTTGACGAAACACTCGAGTCAAATTCTCCTAATTAAAGTCAGATCCACTCGTGTCTTGGACGGGGCAGTGATTTCATAAACCTGTTAATGTACGCATTCAAACACTTTTTCTTTTACCAGCTGTATTCACCTTGCAGGTGCAGCTATGTGGCTTTTATCCTGGATAAAGTGTTTAAGTCATGGATGTTTAAAGTTTAACTTCTTCATATTTGACTAATATTAAAGTTCACTTTTCATTCAGGAAGTATGACGCGCTGCGCTGTCAGTACGCTTGTCCGTGTTTGAGATTGGTTGAATGCTCCAAATACCACCCCTTTCATGTGAACGCGCACCTAACTAGATAGGACACGGCTGGCTTGAGCGATCCACTTGATAACCAGCGTCGTAGTACAGTTTAGCCAGAGCGCGTATGTTTTGGATTGGGCCAACCGGCTAACTCAAACATATCCAGGTTAGGTTGAACCAGCTTCGTAGTACAGGCCTCAGGTGTCGGATGTGGGCTGGCATGATCCTTTCTGCAGCGATGAATAAAGAAAACAAAGAAAACATTATTAATAATAGTAATGATGGTAACAACAATAATATTAGTATAACTATTTATATAGCACTTACACAATTGTAAAGTGATTATCACAACAAAAATAAAGAACAAAACAATATCAACAATAAAAAACAAATGATTATAGGAATGTTAAGAGACAAAGAAATTATAAACATTCTGATAGGCCGACTACAAAAGGTAGACTCAATGGCTCTTGAAGACATCAATGAGCAGTCCCAATAGATGCTGCTGTATAAAAATAAATAGAATAGGTCCAGATTTCTTCTATTTTGTGTTGGATGATTTGTTTGATTGATTGCTAATGGATGCTAAGATGTGTTTTACAATTATAACAAAAAGATTATTGTAATTGGAATCAAAAATATTGCAAATCATAGTTTTAATAAAATCACTAGCAATATAGGGTTTATTCAACAGCAGTAAAGCATTAAGTTGCTAAATGAACGTACACTGAACTGTAAAACAACTTATCACTATTTAGGAAAGGCTCTGATCAGAAGGGTTGACTAGTAGGACAGCAAAGAGGTGGAGGAGGTCTATGTCATGTAAGACCATTGGTAGATGTTACACCTGAAAGAAAGATAAGGAAATAAGACAACACAGGAGGACAAACAATAACTTGCTTTTGGCATTGAAATGGATTAGAATCTCACCTTTTTCCTGGATGTCAGGAAAGCCAGGAAGTTGTTCCCTTCAAGTCCGCAACCAGTCATAGGAGTTCAAATGCAAAGCCTGAACGATGACAAGAGCAGGAGACTTACATTTTACAATTATATTTTTAATGAATACCAGAGCAGTGTGTACATAGGCCCTGTACGACATGCAGAGAACAGATCAAATCCCCTGACAGACTCACACACTTTGGTGATGTCCTCTTCTGATAATGTTTCATTTTTTAGCAGCAAAGTAACATTACTCAAAGTATATGTCGGACCCAACTCATTTACAGTATGTCTTGCATCTCCTCAACAATGGTCTGTATCGTTGAGTAGAAAAAAACTGTCCCTACAATTTCAGGTAGATTTAACACACATTTGAGAGAAAAGTTTACAATGAAGCACCCTCTTTGTATTAAGCGAGCTGCCACAGAAAGTACAGCTTAACATGCTAACCTTTGGTAGAGTGAGCTACAGTTAGCTAACTTCATGTTCAACACAAAACCTCTAACGTGCATTACATTGACGATTTTAAACAAAACGTAACTCTCTCAACTTGTAAGATAACGTTAAGTTAACTTACCCTTAAATAACTACATCACGTTTTTCAGGGGAAACACAAACTGCGGAAAACGTTAGCTGCTAACTGCTAAGACAGCTAGCTCTTGTTAAGGGAAGTAACAATAGCCTCCTAGCAAACTTAAGGTTAAGTTAACATTAACGTAACGTTGTAAGAAAGCAAAACGAACCTTCGAGAAACCTTTTACTCTCAGGCTGCGTTTGCACGGAGATGGAACGGGTGTTATCCGCTACAGTTCTCTATCGT